AAAGAGAAAGACAATAACAATAGTAAATGACATTTGAACTGTCACTCATCAAAAACTGGTTTCCATGTAGACCATAAGGAATTAAAATACACAATTTTGTTCTTTTGGATTGAAGCAAATTTTTCAACATTATATTTGATTCTTAGATGACATAAGAGCTGATATTTGGCATTTTCTTCTGCATCAAACAAGTAAATATATATTGTTTAGTGTATAGTATAATAAAATTTACAACTCTATTATTTTTTGTCAATGGAATAATATAACATTATTAATGTTAAATCCAACCCTTTTTGAAGTAGTTCTATATATATGTTGGCTTAGACTACTCCACAATGACAAAATATTATTACAAAATAAAAATACATGAATGTTTCACTTTCATTCTTATATGGTTTTAATATTAATCTTTTTAATAACCTACAGGAAGAATCCTATGCAGTATTCTAAACTGCAGCCATTGAACAGCTGTATCACTTGTTACTTTAAAACAAACTTTAAAAACATCATGTATTTCAAAATTACACTGCCCATAAATACTCAAAATGGAATTCCATTTTGATGTAAATGTAGGTTTAACACTATTTGTGTTTAAAATGGAGTATATTGGCTTAGTGCATTTTTCTAACTGTAACAACAATTCATAATAAAATGGCATAAGTGTATTGAAAGATTTTGTGGATAAAGATTTGTCAATAGACATACTTTTCAAATATTTTGATACTGCAGTTTCACTATTATATTGCATAATCTGCTTATTTGTATCTGTTTGTGAGAGGCAAAATTTTTTTTGTAAAAATCAAAGCATAAAACCGCTATCTAAAAAATTCCAATTACTCTAATACCTTTCTCATACCAATTTTTGATAAATACAGACCGTTTGCCAACCAGGATATAAGAATTGTACCACACCGGGATATTTGAAAAAATAATTTTTACACTTTTACAATTATTTAAACACTTCATGACTTCCAGCCATGATTTTAATACATCTTGCCAGAAAGCATTGTTTTTAGGAAGTAAATGCTCTAAAATAAACAGATTACCAAAACGAAATAACTTCTCAATAACATCTTTTCCATTCACTGCAAAAAAAAAAATCCATCCATGGCTTTTGTTTTTGAGACCTTTTCATCCAAGAAGATTTAAAGCAATAATAAAATTAATCGACCATTTTTAAACAGAAAGATAGTCTTGTGTGACAGACATCTTATCCGATTTGGACTTCCATATAAATTCAAAAAGGTCTTTTTGCAAATCTACTAAAAACTGTTTTCTAGGAGATGGCAAAGAAATAAATAAATGATTAAGCTTAGGTAGGATAAGAGTCTTAACAACAGTTATGCAACCAATTGGAGTTAGGAGCTTCCATTGTTTAATCAAAGCTCTTATTTTAGGTAGTTGTGAGTCATAATTAATATCAACAATTTCTTTAAGATGAACTGAGAATTGAAACATAAGTTGAAAGTTGTAGTTCCCCATTCTAGTTTCCACCTTGTGTGATGGAAAACTTCTTTTGAATACTTTTTTGATCCAATCCACACTATTTTAGTTTTTGATATGTTAATTTTCAATCCTGAAAATTTTGAATAAAAATCAATGGTATCAAGGGCAGCAAAAAGGGATTTTTGTGAACCATCTCAAGAAAAGTGTCATCAGCATACTGTGATAATTTATGTTCTTTATTATCTACCACAATACCTTTAATTCACTTATTTATAACAAAGGAAAATAAATATAGAAACAGTTGGGACTTGCAAACTGTTAAAACAGCAAAAAATCCACTTTGTAAAATAGAAGCTTTAAAATTAAAATTAAATCTCTTATAATCTTTGAACCAAAACCAAAATACTTCAAAACTTTATATGTAAATGTCCATGAAATTGAATCAAAGGCTTTTTTAATAAAATTTTACAGAATTTTTAAGCTGTGTTGGATTAAGTCATGGCAATGCATTCATGGACCTATACTTTCATAAATCCTGATTGAGTATCTGATATTAAATAATCTAACGTTGTTTTAATTCTTTAATAAAAAGCAGAAATTAGTTTATCATTGAAAAGATTAAACCCAAAAGTAGTCCCAACCATTCCTTAAAGTAGAGACGGTATGATTTGCACAAACTTGAATCTATACTACCTGAGAATGCTTCCATATGAATACATGTATGACCAATCATGGCTTTGCTATTCTGGAGAAGATTTTTAAAGAATTTTCCTATATATTTCTATGTAAAACTATGTTCAGCCACTGTGGCCCCGCCCAACCCCCTGGGGTCATGATTTGAACAAACTTGAATCTACACTTCCTGAGGATGCTTCCATATAAATATAACCTACACTACCTGGGGATGCTCCCATAAAAATATGACCAGTCATGGCTTTGCTGTTCTTGAGAAGATTACTTTTAAAGAATTTTCTTATACATGTATATTTCTATGTAAAACTTCTATGTAAATACGATCAATCAAGGCTTTGTTATTCTTGAGAAGATTTAAAATAATTTTCCTATATATTTCCATGTAAAACTTTGGTCGACCATTGTGGCCCCTCCCAACTCCTGGGGGTCATGATTTGAACAAAGTTGAATCTACACTACCTGAGGATGCTTCCAAATAAATATGATCAATCAAAACTTTGTTATTCTTGAGGAGATTTTAAAAGAATTTTCATACATATTTCTATGTAAAACTTTGGTCGCCCATTGTGGCCCCGCCCAACCCCTGGGGGTCATGAATTGAATAAAAATTGAATCTAAACTACCTGAGGATGTTTACCTATAAGGGTCATCTTTCCTGGCACAGCGGTTTTTTAGTAGATTTTTAAAACAAACCACCAAATTTTCATTACTTCTGAATTAATTCCCCTTGAATGAGGGCACTGCTCTTCATTTTAACAACCTTCACCAAGGATGCTTTGTGGCAAGTTTGGTTGAAATTGGCCCAGAAGTTCTTGAGAAGAAGATGATACTGTGAAAAGTTAACAGACAGAAAGCTAGACAGAAAGACAGAAAGACAGAGCTTTCAGCTCAGGTGGGCTAACAAAAACCAATATAAAGAATTATGTATCTTAGTGTAGTCTACTTGTGTGCCAAGTAATATTTAAATCAAACCAAAACTGTAAGAGGAGTATTATTTTGAAAATATTTCACCAAAATTTCTATTTTTAGTAACCATGGCAACACCATCATTGACATCAAAAACCAATTTACAGAATTATGTATCTTAGTGTAGTCTACTTGTGTGCCAAATTATACTGAAATCAGACCAAAATTGTAGGAGGAGTAGCATTTTGAAAGTATTTAACAAAAATTTCTTAGATTATTTTTAGTAGCCACTGCAACACCGTTTACAAAATCAATAAAGTGCCACGCCACAGAATGATATGCCAGTCAAAAAAATTACAATTATCTTAAACAGTTAGAGTGCAAAAAAAATCATGTCAACCTTGATTCTAAGATTTCCATGATTTTTTCCCATTCATTAAAATATTTGTTTATCCATCGTTTGTGGTGAAGGCATTAATTATAACAAATATTACATCATTGATAGTTTTCTATACTGGTTCTGTTAGACCTTGTCAAATGCCCATCAAATTAAACAATATCAAATTATTCTTAACAACTTAATCTATGATTAATTAATTTTGAAAATAAAAGGCTGGCCATCAAATGCATTATGCTATAAACTGACCAGTGGTTCTTCCGTCTAATTCCCAAAGGATACAGATAAGACTGTTTGATCAGAGATGTGCTAAAGAAATAATTGAGACAGCTAGCCTAATCCTACATTGAACTCATTAATTAATCTTTGACTGGATGCTTGTCTACTCAATAAATGGATCTACACTATCTTCAATAAAACATTTTTAAAACATATAAAATACTCAATAATTTTTTTGAGATTTAATGTAAAACAAGTTTTAATATGCAATTCATATGGACAAATGGACATGCTGATTCCACCCGACCCCTATAAAATTGGTTTTTAAATTGATAATATTATATGATATCAGATTAGTTTATTATGCAATATCAAATTAGTTTTAATTACTTTTCATCAAATTCATTTTAATAAAACTTAGGCTAGCCAACAAAAGCTATTTTTTAATCCAACAGGCCGACCCATTCCCCAATTCCCAAGGGATATAGATAACACCTGCTTGATCAGAGATGTCCTACCAGTTAGCTCCTCACTCTAAACTCATTAATTACTCTCTAATTTGTCATGCAATTTTCAATAATTTTTCCATATTTGGCTATAACTTTTTTATTATAGGTCAGAGCGACCTACTTTTTATGCGCGACACACCTTCTACCCAAGATGTATCAGTTGACAAAGTTTGATAACTGTAGGCCTAATTGTATTTAAGTTATAGCCGGACACGAGAAAAGCTAACAGATGGACGGACAGACAGACGGACACGTAGCCTGTAACATAATACGTCACGTCTAAAGCTAGCATATAAAAGACCAATATACAGAATTATGTATCTTCGTGTAGTCTACTTGTATGCCAAGTTATATTGAAATCAGACCAAAACTGTTGGGGTAGCATTTTGAAAAATTGTTTACAGACAGACGGACAGCTAGACGGACGACGGACGCATTACTATCGCATAAGCTAACCTGGTCTCTGACCAGTAGAGCTAAAAATGACAATTCCCAAATATTAGAATATTGAAGTTATTTATCAAATAGTTGCATGTATCAATCTTTTGGGGTTGTCTTTTTTTTAAAATTATTCCACTAAAATTTCTTTCATAAGCAATTCCAGTTAAGTCTACTCTTTAAAATAATGATGGGATGAAAACGAAGTCACAATTCAGTAAATGCCTGCAACTAGTTACTTTGGAGATGGAATTAACAGCATTGGTGGCATTCTTCTTATGTTAAAATTTTACATGCTGAAGAAATTGTTCAGCAAAAAAGTATTTTTACAGTTCCTTTCAAACCTTTTTGCATAAAAGACTTAAATTGTTGCAACTACATAAAACATAAGATTTGATACAACATTTTATCATGAATGAATTGCTGCAAAATATGAACAGTATAAAAGTATGAAATTGTGTCATCAATTTGTGATCAATGTTTAATTCTGATCACTTTCTGCAATTTAAGAATTACTTTTTCTTTTTCATAGTTCTGACTTTATTTATAAGGTCTCTGATTTTGTCAAATGTTCCAGTGGCGTCTGGTAGATTCTCATACGGAATGTGATCCTCTATACCTTCACCAAATTTAGAAGAATCAGGCAATGACTCAACTGGTCCCTTTAAAATGGGGGTACCATAATCCTTGGATATAGAATTGCTCTGATGTAAACTGCTAAGAGGGTTCACATCACTGAGGGAAATGTTGGGTGTTTGAGGTGTGCTAGGACATGATCCACCAGAACCAAGCTCACCAAATGTCTGTATAGAAGAGATTGAATCTGTCCTCTTTAGAATTTTCTGCTTTAGGGCCAGGAGTCCGGCCACCTCCGAGTTACTGTCCTCATCACTGGTTACACAGCTATCCAGCAGATCTGTATCAGCCTCACCTGACACCAGCTTCTCCTGTAACAGCTTTAGCTGCCCTTCCAGTTCCTCCAGTGAAGGAGACTCAGATCTCTCTGATTCTGTCATTGAGATCTCTCGCGCTACCTTGGGTAGACTCAGCTTTGGGACTGGTGGAGTGTGGGGTGGAGTTTCTTTGGGTAGGGGTGGCCTTGTAGGAGGAGTATCCAAAGGTAAAGGTGGTACAAAGACATGGCCATTGACAGATTTTACAGTTCCTGTAAACAATGCAATTTTAATGTGGTGTGAACATGTTATTTCATGAATGAATTATTCAAAACAATTGTTTTTTACAGAAATTTATTTCTCTCATTAAAACATTTCCCTTAAAAAATGTTTTCTTTCAGGTCATTGTATTTTATTCTTTTGTTGAGTTTTGAGCAATACGGCACAGGTTATCTGTGCTATATCTTTTCAATAAACTGAAAGCTAAATTCTTCTTAGTGGGTTTATTACAGAAGTGATTTCAAAGGAACTTCATTATACCTATGATACAACTGTATTCATTAATAATCACAATAAGTTTGGTTGAAAGTACTGCAATTTCAAATGGGCATTAAAAAAATAGAAACTGTAGAATGTCAAGGTTTTCCTTTCTGGAAAAGGTAAAACTGTTAAGTAATAAGAAAATCACAAGAGGGTATTTCACTATATACAGAGCTTGTTAAGAATTGTTAAACATTTAAGGCTTAAGATAGAAGATCTCAATCACATTTGTATAATAATATACTGTATACAGGGTTATTTTCACCTTCTTTCATTTTCGCCCTTTCACACTTACAAAAAGAGCCAAGACCACTTCGGCCATTTTTGGCACTGAGCATTTCTCAAATGTTGAAACTGTTTGGATTTGGTTGACAATGCATTATTTATTACTTGAACCCTTGGTGACTTTGTATCTATTGAATATGACATAATTTTCTCTTTAGTACGTGCAATTTGACGTCATGAAATTAGTCCCTTTTCCCATATCTGTAGACGTTTTGACGTCATAGTTACATTTCTGATAACATTACGTCATGGACTCGAGATTCCACTGAACACTTTGATTGGTTAAAATAACCAATAAATATTCATAAGGGAGTAGTTCCAGGGAGTAGCTCTGATTTCTCAGGGAGTAGTCCTCAGATGAGGGAAAGAGTCTCTTCTCGGGGAAATAGGCAGTGTTATGGTATTAATTTTATACAGAGTTATTACAGTAGAGGTATAATAATCAGGTATATGACGTCACTGATACATCAATGGAAAGTGAATTCAACCTGAATAACAGAGCCAATTTTAATCTAAATATTACCCTTGGAGGCGAAAATGAATTATATTTTGAAAATAAATTATTCGTAATTTTCTTCAGTGTATCGATTCTAAATACTGTAGATCACTAGATTTTCATGACACCTTATTTTCGTGAGATAGTCATTGCCTCTTTATTAGCGAGACAAAATGTTCATAAATTCTGGTGATTGCTTGATATAATCTATAGGAATACTAATATACGCAAAAATCATATTTTCGCGAGCACTTTGTCTCTCGTAATTACGCGAAAATAAAGTTCTCGCGAATAAAACGTGATTTACAGTATTTCACTAGGATTCCGATAAAGAGGTGTTTAGCAGATTTACCGATGCCACTGGAGATAACTCTTGCATCGCAGAATTTCATAAAAATGTCAAAATATTTTGCCAGAAAACTACTGTCAAAAGTGTTTTTCCCACCGATTTTATTTTTAAAAAAAAAAGATGAAATATTACTAGATTTAGTTAAGTGTGAATTATAGTCCTGTTAAAATGTATTAGAAATTTCAGTTCTTTGTTTCTGACCTACATTCAATGGTTTATATAGGGGAATTCAAAAACACAAAACACAAGGATATTTTACTTAATACACAATTTTCAAACAAATCTTCAATTACATTATTCCTTTTGGACTACATTGATATTGTTTTTAATTAAATATCAAATATTCCTCACATTCGATATGTGCCTATTAATACAATACTGCCTGGTTTTTCGGTGGACTGCCTCTTAAAAATAACCAAGCGTTGAAGCATTTCTTCGATATCTTATATAGAGCACAACCTCTGATCCAAAATATGAAGATCTGTTTCTGAATATCATATAATATGCTTTAATTCTTGGATCAAGGGCTATGATCATATTTTAATTTTTTTCTGAAGGTAGGCAAATACCCTGTTTTCTGCAATATTCAAGAACATTGCACTTTGATAAAACTGGATATCTGGATACTCAAACAGAAATTTTATTATAGGAAATAAAAGCAATCAGCCTCTACTTTATTTTTGTCCCCCGCTTGAAAAGTGGGGGATATTAATTTGGGTTTGTCCGTCCGTCCGTCCGTCCTTCTGTCTGTCTGTAACGCTTTCGTTTCCACACAATATCTCGAGAACCCTTTGAGCTTTTGCAATGAAATTTAGCAGAGCAACTCCCTATGGACTAAAGACCCCTATTGATTTTGAGGTCAAAAGGTCAAAGGTCAAGGTCATAAATAAGCAAATTCTGTCTGTTAAAACACTTTCGTTTCCACACAATATCTCTAGAACCCTTTGAGCTATTGCAATGAAAATTTACATAACAACTCCCTGTGACCTAGTGAAGACCCCTATTGATTTTGAGGTCAAAAGGTCAAAGTTCAGGGTCGTAAATTTATACATTCTGTCTGTGTGTAACACTATCATTTCCGGGCGATATTTATAGAAGATTTTGAGCTTATGCAATGTAATTTTATACCAAAACTCCCTAGGACCTCTCTCACCCCTCTCAAAGTGCCCCGCCCCATTTGTTTTATTAGTATTTATAGTATTACATGTCGCTATTTTTAACGCAGGGGCATGAGGAGAGTTACATGTATTGCGTATAAAACAGGTTCTCGGCGGACTTTATGTTCTTATTACATCTATTAGAACTGTTTAATAAAGGCTAAATAAATCAAACACCATGGATTGTGTAAAATTTTGAGAATATCGAACATGATTACATGTATGTGACTTCAGTTCTGCATATACTTCACCCTGTGTAAAGCGATTCCGTGGTCTAGTGGTTATGTCTCTCGCTTCAAATGCGAGAGGTCCAGGGATCGAATCTCGGTCGATCCTTTCTTTTTTTTTTTTTTGAAATACTTTTTTTTACTAAATGATAGTATTCAGCATGTGAAATGAAAAATTTATGAGGTTATAAAATCATCATTACAGTGTGATAAATATTCTATAATAAAAAAATCTTCTAAACACATAATAAAGAATAAGCAATCAAATCTTTATATGCATATTGACATACATGTATTTTATTTGCTTCAGAATACATGTATACATTTAATAATTCTACAAATTCAGTCAGGGGGAGCCGACTTTTTCCCTAAGCGGGGGACACGAATTCTCTGAATTAGCTTGTTATATTTGAATTGGGAGGGAGAATGATAGTCAATTAATTGATACAAGCACAGGGCCATTTTATGCAAAAAGTGAACCTAGATCTTTTGCCTCATTTTAAATTTGCTCCGTCACAATTCTATTTAAGAATTTGTATTGTCTTCTCTGAATTTGTCCCATCTTAAATTCAACCCTTGGTCTAGATTGAAAGGGGTGAAAATGAAATGGAGGCAAAATTTTCCCTATATACAGTACTCTGAATCTGTATTTGGGATGCACAAAAATCCCCTTTCAGTAATAATTTTTACCTTCTTCCTCAATATCCATGTCATCACCTTCCTCTGACCTCAGTTTCTGTCGCCTTCTCTCAGATTCTGTGCCATCCTCAAATTTCCTTTTCCTGCTTTCTGCCTAGTTTAGAAGAAATAGAATGCTTTGCACTTTCAAATCAATAAATAGAGCAAACTGTTATTGAAGGTCACATTAATTTCCACACATCTTATTTACCCAGGAGAGGTACAGTTATTTGTTATTTAAAAGCATACCAATTATTTTGCAAACTGTGATATTTGTGAGCTGTGTTATCAAGCCTAGAAAAAAATTGTTTGTTTCCGCTTTCAGGCCGAAAAAATATAGCCATTAGGGTAGGTAGGTAGGCAATTTTTTTTTGTTGAAAAATTTCTTTATGCTTCTTTAATCAAAACATGTATAGAAGTAACATTAATGACAAATGAAATGGTGTTTTCAAGCATTTCTGTGACTTAAACTTATAATAGAAAGGTGATCCAAACTTCTTTCTGTCTTGAAAAGCTTGCAAAATTGGAGGCTATAATTCCCTGGGTGAAATCTTGCACATCATGGGAAAAAAGCATTAAAAAATATTTAGGGTCGGCACTATATATTAGGGTCGGTCGGGAAAGCGGAAACAAACATATTTTTTTTCTAGGCCTGACACCCCTGTCAACGTGCAATCGGCAATGCTGATGCGATCGGCAACACAGATCGTAAAATTCAACTACATGAGGAAGATGGGGTTAAATAAAACAATATTTTGTCATATTTCTTCGCGATTTTGCTTTAACATTTCTGACTTTTGAGGTGCAACTAGGCATATTTAACACTATAAAAGTCCTTTGCGCATTAAAAATCACCGTATCTTTTGTAAAGTTAAGATTTCCTTGAACAGAATTGTCCTAATGTTACACACGAAGCTCGTTTAAGTGGTATTTCTTACCTTATTATGTATACTCTACAGTCCAAAAGGCACACACGCAATATTCTAAATGGGTAAATCATAAATGTTTCCGATTTGAAGTTCGTTATCAAACAGAGAGCGTCAAAATAACGGTTTGAAGTGAACACATGGCAAACGATTTGGCGATCGGCAACGACTCTAAATGCGGTCGTACAACAAAGAAAATATGATAAATATGCGATCGTGCAACTTGAAATTTATAAAATACTTTTTATGAAATATAGTAATAGATAACCAAGTGTTATGGTTTAAAAGTTTGTCGAAATAGAACTGGACACCGAGCATTTGATTTTCAAGAGGGAAAAAGCGAATTTGACTGACGTTCTAGTCTATTAGTTGAATAATGTCCACATTTTAAGAGAATTGAAAACTCCATGGAACCCTGAAGCTTGCAGTATTGTCACCTGAATATTTTTTAAAAAAGATACCGACAAAGTGTTACAAGGGCCGAATTTTAGCATTATAGAACAAGAGGCCCAAGGGCCTTGAATCGCTCTTCTGATAAATTGTACAACCTATCACTTGTATTTGAAGCCTCTAACCCTAAGTATCCTAAAACCCAAGTTGCATCAACTGATAAAAAGTTTTGATGATTCTTAGCCAATTAGGACTGAAGATATTTTAATAAAGCTATTAAAAAAAACCATGAGTTGACCTACTTTAAGATTGAAGTTTTCTGAGGACTCAAGATTCATTAATAGACAAACTAAGATTGAAGATTCTAAGCCATTATGTATTTGAGATATTCAAAAGTAGGTCACCTTGACCTACTTTTTGGTCTACATTCTTGGAAAACCCAAGATGCATCAACTGACAAAGTTTGATGATTCTAAGCCAATAAATACCTGAGATATTCAAAAGTATGTCACCATGACCTACTTTTTGGTCGACATTCTCTGAAAACCCAAGAGGCATCAACTGACAAAGTATGATGATTCTAAGCCAATAAGTACCAGAGAAACTTAAATATAGCCATAAAATGTCAAAAGTAGGTTATCATGACCTACATTTTAGTCGACATTTATCAGAGTCCCAAAATGCATCTGCTGACAAACTTTGATAATTCTAAACCAATAAATACCTGAGATATTCAAAAGTAGGTCACCGTGACCTACTTTTTGGCCAACATTCTCTGAAAACCCAAGAGGCATAAACTAACAAAGTTTGATGATTTTAAGCCAATAAGTACCGGAGATACTTAAATATAGCCATAAAATGTCAAAAGTAGGTCATTGTGACCTACTTTTTGGTCGACATTCTCGGAAAACCCAAGATGCATCAACTGACAAAGTTTGATGATTCTAAGCCGATAAGTACTGGAGATACCTAAATATAGACATTAAATGTCAAAAGTAGGTCATCGTGACCTACATTTTGGTTGACATTTATCACAGGCCTAAGATGCATCTGCTGACCAAGTTTGATAATTCTAAGCCAATAAATACCTGAGATATTCAAAAGTAGGTCACTGTGACCTACTTTTTGGTCGACATTCTCTGAAAACCTAAGAGGCATAAACTAACAAAGTTTGATGATCATAAACTGATAATTACCAGGAATACATAAATGTAGCCATTAAATGTCAAAAGTAGGTCACCGTGACCTACTTTTTGGTCGACATTCTCCGAAAACCCAAGATGCATCAACTGACAAAGTTTGATGATTCTAAGCCGATAAGTACTGGAGATACATAAATATAGCCATAAAATATTGAAAGTAGGTCACCGTGACCTAATTTTTGGTCGTCACTCTCCGAAAACCCAAGATGCATCAACTCACAAAGTTTGATGATTCTAAGCCAATAAATACCTAAGATACTGAAATATAGCCATAAAATGTCGAAAGTAGGTCACAGTGACCTACATTTTGGTCGACATTTTTCAGAGTCCCAAGATGCATCAGCTGACCAAGTTTGATGATCATTGGTCTGAAGGTAATCAGAATATGCCTCTTAAACAATTTGAAAACAAATGCCTGCAAAATTCTAAAAGTAGGTCACAGTGACCTACTTTTACTTAAATATGTTTTAAGGTCCCAAGATGCAGCAACTTACAAGATTTGATGATTCTAACCCTCTCAGTGTCTGAAATAATGGGATGAAATGTTTTAAAAAGGATAAGTCATAAAGTTCAAAAAGTAGGTCACGGTGACCTACTTTTAAGTTGACATTGTTCAAGGACCCAAGATGCATCAACTGACAAAGTTTGATGATCATAGGCCTTAAAGTGTCCAAAATATGCCTTCAAATCAATTTGAAAACAAATGCCTGCAAAATTAAAAAAGTAGGTCAACGTGACCTACTTTTGAGTTAACATGATGTGACGTCCTAAGATGCATCTACTTACAAGATTTGATGATCCTAGTCCTTATAGTAAGCAAAATATAGACATTTTCATTAATTGTAAATTTAGGTCAACTTTGAAGTGACCTTGAGACCACGCCCTTTGCCCCAGGGTCATGCCTTGAACAATTTTTAATCTTCAACATATCCTGATCATTGTATGTAAGTTTGGTGAAAATCTGCCTGGTGGTTCTGGAGAAGAAGATTTTTTTGCAACCAGTACTTTTGGTTTTGTTTTCCTGATTATCTCCCCTTGTTTTAGGATCCCAACCCTTATTTTAGTATAAATGGTAGCCCTTGGGCCAAGGATACCCTGTGACAAATTTGACACTGATTGGCCAAGGGGTTCTCGAGTTATGGCCCATATTCTAAAAAGTTAACGCACACCGCACACCGCACAAATGGCCATAGCATTAGCTCTTTGAGCCTTTGGCTCAGAAGAGCTAAAAACAAGAGGCCCATGGGCCACATCGCTCACCTGAGTAACTTGGGTGATGCAGTTCTTTACCAGATTCCCCCTCTTGCTATACCTATCATGCCCCACTACCCCCTTCCCTTTTATGATTTTAAAACTTTAGAATCTACACTACCCCAGGATGCTTTCACATAAGTTTCAGCTTTCCTGGCCCTGTGGTTCTTGAGAAGAAGATTTTTAAAGATTTGTTCTATATATTTCTATGTAAAACTTGGATTCCCTATTGTGGCCCCGCCCTACCCCAGGGGGTCATGATTTTAACAATTTAATATCTAAACTATCCAAGGATGCTTCCACATAAGTTTCAGCTTTCCTGGCCCTGTGGTTCTTAAGAAGAAGATTGTTTAAGATTTGTTCTATATATATCTATGTAAAACTTGGATTCCCTATTGTGGTCCCGCCCTACCCCTGGGGGTCATGATTCTAACAATTTACTATCTACACTACCCAAGGATGCTTCCACATAAGTTTCAGCTTTCCTGACCCAGTGGTTCTTGAGAAGAAGATTTTTAAGTGACCCCACTCTATTTTTGTCTTTTCTTGATTATCTCCCCTTGTAAGGGGACTTGGTCCTTTATTTTAACAATTTAAACTCCCCTTCACCCAAGGATGCTTTGTACCAAGTTTGGTTAAAATTGGCTTATTGGTTCTTGAGAAGAAGTCGAAAATGTGAAAAGTTTACAGACGGATGGACAGACGGACGGACGACGGACAAAATGTGATCAGAAAAACTCACTTGAGCCTTCGGCTCAGGTGAGCTAAAAAAGGTTTTATTGTCTATGGAAATGGCAGTTCAATTACAGGGGTTGGCATATACTAGTATATCAAAAACTTAAATTTTCAGAAATTGAAAAAAAAACGTTTTAACACTATAAATACACTGATCAAATGAATTGGCATATCTTGCAATTTTACTGAAATTTTCAGTACATAGAAAATGTGTTATCATAACAGCATTATGTACATTATATTTTTATTTATTGAAAATTGTTGTAATTATAGTATAACTTTTTAAAATTGATTGACAATATCGGGAAAGTTGAAAAACAATCCAAATCACAATAGTTAAACTTTTTTTTTATATTAATAAGATGATTGCCCACTTTTTTGCAGTATAGTCAAATCGGGGTAATTTGCAGCTGGTTATTTATGAATAAAATTTGGTTGTTCAAACACCCCCTCCCTCCACCCCACAAAATTGATTTTTGAGTTTGGAGAATGTTCCTTATTTATATTTTGTTTGTCAAACTATCTAAGAAAATCTGCATGGACTTTTTTTAATGGGGGTGGGTGGGGGGGTGTGTGTGTGTGTGAAACTGTTGTGACATTGCGGTAAAATT